AAAAAAAAATAAATAAATAAATCAGCACTAGACACTCCCTTAGCTCATGTGGTCCATAAAATACAAGGAGAATATTTTCTAACAGGGCAAGAAATTTTTAAACAGGTTTTAAAAAACTAAGATTTCCCCAGCCCTCACCTCTGACCCACATATTTTAGTTCAGTAAGGGTTTGGACAACATTTCTTAAAACATAACTGGTTTAAGAAAACCTGTGTTTACATGGTATTACACCGAAGCAGTTATCTCCTGATTATTTCCTGAGATCACTCTGGTTACCTAACAGAGCAATCTTGTTTCACCTTTTAGTATGGAAAATATTAATCCTGTATAAAAAGAGCCAACAGTACAATGAATTCCTACATATACATTCAATCTGGCTTCAGCAGTTATTAACTCATGATTAATATTTCATGTATTATACCTCCACCCATGCCCCCTATATATACTTTCAAGTAAACCCAACCATATCCATTAACCCAAATACTTCACTGTGTACCTCTTATATAAGGACTTAAAGCAATATCAGTATCATACACTGACAAAATTAAACAATCTGTCTTTAATCACCTATCCATGCAAAATAACTTGTTATGCTAGTGAAGCAATTACACTCAGCTAGGTTTTCCTGAATAAAGAGCAAGGATAGGCATAGCACAAATGTCTTCACTTGCTACATAGTTAGGGTATTAATTTCAAGTCCTTGCTTAGTGTCCATCATTGATAGGTTCTTGGAGATTGCTTTAAATGAAACGACACATAACAAGACCATTTTTCCCCCCAGCTGTGTTTTGGTGACATGACATTGAGTTCATCTTGCTAGAAGTAAGTCCCAGTTTCCAAGAACCTATCAACAACATTAAGAGAAGACTTAATCTTTATGCTTTTGGTATCAAGAACACCTCAAAATATAAACCCTAGGCATGGGCCCATTAAGGGGAAAACAGATTAAGTTCAACAACTGGCCAAGGAAACTTATTTTTACCTTTCAATGCACTACATTCTTAGGTGGAAAACCCTGGGGGATCAGAGAGGCCAGTATCATGAGTCGCATGATAGAATCCTATTGCAGCCACTTAATGTAGATTTGTATATTAATATGGAAATATACTCAAATATTAACAGTTCCAGATTGGTATCATACCATAGTACATTATAACAGAAGTTCCATTTAAAAATAGCAAAACCTGTAAAGAGATTACCATAATGTTGATTTAAGTTTCCTCTGGGGTTACATACATTTCTAAGATTTCTGCAATGTACACGTATTGCTGTAATACATTTTAAAATATTTTCTTAGGTTGACAAAAGTAAAATTTGAAAATTGACAAATCAATCAACTCCCAAGAATACACACAAAAAAAAGATCATATAATTACTTCTAATTTGGAGCCCAATAGGTAGGGAAGTGTCAAGTCTAAAAAAAGGAAAAGTAATTTAAATTATTTCAAATCAAGTAATGGAACATTTAAATACAACAGATGGGCAAGTAAGCCAATTAAGTAGGCCAAAACACTTATTTAAACAAGTCCAGGCCCCACATGGTGGCTGACATCTGTAATCCCAGCATTTTGGGAGGTTGAGGCAGGCAGATCATTTGCGGTCAGGAGTTCAAGACCACCTGACCAATATGGTGAAACCCCATCTCTACTAAAAATACAAAAATTAGCCAGGCGTGGTGCAATGCTCCTGTAGTCCCAGCTACTCAGGAGGCTGAGGCAGGAGAATCGCTTGAACCTAAGAGTTGGAGGTTGCATGAGCTAAGATTGCATCAGTGCACTCAGCCTGGGCAACAGAGAAAGACTGTCTCAAAAAAACAAAAACAAAAAGAACATGTTCTTTAGTTTAAAAAATAAACATGGGCCGGGCGCGGTGGCTCAAGCCTGTAATCCCAGCACTTTGGGAGGCCGAGGCGGGTGGATCAC